CTGCCATGAGCCTCCTCTCCCTCCTCATGCCCTGCCTCTGCTGCTACTTTCCCACCCTGGGGTGCCTCAAACTTTGCCAGCGGGGCTATGACGGGCTCAGACGCCCCGGCTGCCGCTGCCAGAGCCACACCAACACGGTCTGCAGGAAGATCTCCTCCTCCAGCGGCACCCCCTTCCCCAAGACGCTGGATAAGCCGGTATGACCCCCCGGGGAGGACAAGCGGGCTTTACTCCTCCTCCTCCTCCTCCTCCCGCTCCACTCCGTCCTCCTCCTCCTTCGGCTCCCCCTGCCCTGCCACGCTCCCCGCTCCCCACCATCAACTCCCGGGAAGGAGATGGGTGAACTGGGGGTCCCAGCCCCCGGGAACACGGAGGCGGCACCGAGCTGGTGGGACACGGTGGGTTTGCAACGCTCCGGTGAGGGACCAGGAGAGCTGCAGGTGGCCTCTCCGGCCTTGCCCCCCAGGAATTGCCACCCAAGGGCTCCTCGGGACTTCTCAGGGGGTTTTAGGAGCTGCTGCTGCCCCGTGGCGTGGTCCCTCCCAATGGAGGGGAAGAGGCAGGTCAGCTCATCCCCTGTGCGAGAGTCTTCCAAGAGCCAGACCTCCCTCCTTCCCTCCCTCCATCTGCCTCCAGCACTTCTCGTGGCAGCCTCTCTCCTCTCCTGTAGGTCTGCTTTCCCCAAGGGGCTGGGGTGCCACGGGGTCCCGCTGGTGGCAGTGGCTTCCCTGTGGGCTTGGAAGCTGCTGGAGAGAAGCAAGCGAGCTGCTGAAGGAGGTGGCATCGTATTTTTCTGTCTCAAAGAGGAAGGGAAGGTGTGGGAAGCTTTAGAAACCTTCTGGCAGGGGAAGGAGCTATGGGAGGCAGCCCAGCCCACACGCTTCTGCCCGACTGCAGCGAGGGAAAGGTCCCCTCTGGGATTTGGCTGAGAACAAGAAGCTGGTTTGAAATTGCCATTCATGTCTCTAAGCCTTGAAGGGCTGCCTCCCGAGCAGAGCCCCGGCGGGGTGGGAGCTGCAGCAGGCTCCAGCCCACCACCCAGCAGATGCCACCAGCTCTGTGCTCCAGCCCTGCTCTGCTCCCTTCCACCAGCACTGAATTCACTTTAAAAAAGGCCCCAAAGCCAGCAGCCAGCAGCAGCCACTGGCCCCGCTCTCCCTGCCAGCCCTGGGGGCTCCTGCAGCCTCTGCCTTGAGCTGGGGGGAACAGAGAGCAGAAAAAGGTGTCAAAAGAGGGGACCCCAAGCTTCCCTCCTTGCAGAAGCTTTCTTTGAGACCTCACTTGGCTTTCCTTGACCAGCCATGTCATCCCACCACCAGTGTCACCCCTCTGAGGCTATTCTGCTTGTGACAACCTGGAGGTGGGTCTGAGCCAAGTCCTGGCCTGGGCCATCTGCAGAGCAGTAGGAAACCTGAATCGGGGTCAGGGCTTCACGGGTTACCTGCTGGGACAATAATTAACCCAACCCATCACTGTGGTTGGAGGGGACCTCCTCCAGGTCTTGAGCTCAGCCCCATCTCTGCTTCCAAACACGTGGAGTTGTGACCCTGCAGCCTGGTCGCTTGGGGCAGCTTGGAGCTGGGATGATGTCCTGGTGCTTGGTCTCCTCTGAGGTGTGTGAGTGCAGAGGGAAGTGAATGGTTCCCCTGGAGATATATATGCAACGTGTCCTTTGGCTTCCTCCAAGACCCGGGGCTCACCCCTCGCCTCCCCTCAGCCACCCCTCACGCAGAGTTCTGTGGATCTATTTTTGTATATAGAAACCTAACGCTAGGCTGGCTAGGTCTATTGCTAATAATACTCATGATACTGCTGTGAACGGTGCCAGATGTGAGGTTTGGCTTCCGGGTACACTTGCACATGCTGGGAGATGAGTTCCTGGTCTGTTTATTGCTAATCCCAGACCTTTTGTTCCTAGGGAGTCGGGGGAGGGGGAAAGGAGGGTTCCCAGGTTGTGCTCCTTGCAGGAAGGGGGTTTTGTTCCGTGCTGGCTGGGGGTGAGGCAGGAGGCAGAACCTGCTGGTGGGATTCCTCTTCCCCTCCATTTGCTGTCTGAAACTCGTGGCTGCTCCAGGCTCCCTGTGCTGCAGAGCAGAGGTTCCAGGCAGTGATTCATCCCTCTTGAAAGCCTTATTCATTCAGCCAGGCTGGCAGCGCCTGCCCCGGCCCTTCAGCTCCTGCTTCCCTCTGCAAGGGGAGATGAATCCCATCCCTGGGGAGAACAGCCTGGGCTGTGCTATGGATGTGACCAAATCCTCACTCTGGTTTCACCGGGAGCCTGAGAGGGGATGTTGGAAGATGCTTCCTCTGGCCGAAGGTGGAGATGCCACTTCCACAGGCTGGGGGGAATTCTGGGTGGTGCTCCAGGCCCCGATGGGGATCTCCTGGCACTGGGAAGGGAGACACCCATGCCAGTGCAGTTTGCACATCCTCTGAGGCCAGCCTTGGACTCTTGAAACCGTTTGGGTTTTGAGGCAGTGCCCTTCCCAGAGGATGCCCCGTGGGTGTGTGTACCCCCGTCAGGTCACCCCGTGTCTCTGGGGCAGCAGTTCTACAATATATTGCAAAGCTATTTATCCATAGGCCAATAAGTGCTTGGCTCCCTCCTGCCAAGCAGTGTCTGGGGCAGAGGCTTCCACCAAGAGACCCCCTTCCTCTGGAACACTCGGTTCACTGTCCTGTTGGTGCTGATTAAACTCCTTCCTAAAAAAATGCAACACTTTTTTAGGGAACAAAAAAAGGTCTTTTTTTTTTTTTTTTTTTTTTTCCACTGAGGATGTGAGGAACTTGAATGAGAATGTGGAATAGTTCATTGAAACTTTTTTAAAGAAAACTAATGAACAGAGTTTTCCAACTTGCTCTACTTGGATTTTTTTTTTATTTTTGGTTTTTTTTTTCTCCTCCTTTTTAAATGGATCCTACTTGTAAATTTAGTTACCACCTCTGTATCTCGCCGATTCATTGCTTCCTCTCCTGATGGTGGAATGACTCAACATGTGAAGCTTCATCATTTTCACGGCCTCCAAAGTCGTGCGAGCACGGGGGGGTGACCTCCCCCAGGTGCTGGAGCTGATGGATGAGAAGAGGGCTGCCCACCCAGCAGCTCCCCAGAGCCAGCCTGGCTGGGCAGCAGCAGGATGAGGAGCAGCCCTGCACTTCCCTGCAGCACGTTTCCCTTCAGGAGCTGGTGGGAGGCCAGGACCCCTGCCAGTAGCTTCTACCTGTAATGGGATTTTTGTGGGTCAGCACAGAAGTCCCGTGTCTCCCAGGACGTGGTGCCACAGCCTGGGTGCAGGGCTGAGGAGTCCAGCCAGGTCTCTGGAATGTCTCTTCTGCAGGAAATGAGAAGCCTGGGAGATGTATGTGGTGAAATCGGGATGTGTCAAAGGGAATGGGAGAGGAGGAGCCCCTGGTGGGCACTGGGGGTGTGAGACCAGTGCAGGGCTTGGGCTGAGGGCAGAGCAGAGCCAGGGCCTGGCCGTCCAGTCCCATGGGCTTGAGAAGTCTGGAGCTGTTGGCCCCTGCCCTGCTCCCAGGGGCAGGTGGCTTCACGTGGGGTTACTGCTTCTCACTCCAGCTGGGGGGCCTTGGCAAGCTCCCATCCTCACTCCCATTCCTGGTTCCCACTCCTCACTCCCCCTCCTCTCTCCCATTCCTTGCTCCCACTCCTCACACCCACTCCTTGCTCCTGTTCCTTGCTCCTGTTCCTTGCTCCCACTCCTTGCTCTCAGCAGAAAGCACAGGTTGGGATTTGCCCTCCAAGGAGATCAGCTCTCCTTCCCTGGAAGCTGTGGGGACCCTCTGGTCATGTTTCCCCCCCGATCTGTTCCTAAAATCTCCAGACAGATCCATCCTGCTCCCTCCCAGCTCCACTGCCAGGCAGTTTGGTTTCCCTGCAGAGGTGACTCCAGCTTTGGCTGGGGCTGTGAGCCCCTCTCCTGCCCCACCTCCTCATGAGTCAGCTCACATCAGCTCCAGATGTTTCTCTGCAGCTCCTTGCCCTTGCCTGGCAGTTTGGGTTTCTCCACATCCTAATGTGTCTTTTTTGGTTTTCTTTTGGGAGAATCACATGCCAAGTCCTCTGTTTCCCCCAGGATTTGATAAGGATGGAGCCACTTCCTGAGGGGAAGCCTCTTGGTGGTGTGTGTCTCTGCTGGTCATGGACTCCTCTGCCAGGAAACCTGCAGGGCTGCTGGGCAGATTTAGGTGGGGAAAGAGAGACTCAGGTGCCAAAGGAGCAGGAGACGGGAGCTACTGAGCAGGACCTGAGCTCCCCCTGCTCTGCTCCCCATCCAGGAGCTCCTCGTCCCACCCAGACCTCCACAGCTCCATCCCTACAAGAGTTCCTGCTGGTGCTTGCTTTCTCCAAAGCTTCCCTTGGTCCCACTCCCCTCCATCCCTACTGCACTCATCCCATCAGCCCCAGCAGTGGTGAGGAAGGGGCACTGGGGATGGAGGTGGGACTGAGATGGGACTCCATCCCATCCCATCACCCCCAGACCTCCTGGTGGAAGGGCAGATGTGGTCCTTGGGCTGCTCTTCACTCCTCCCTGAGAAACCTGCCAGCCAAGTACCTCAAAGAACAGGGGGCAGCTCTTTAGGACTCTACTCTCAGATTCCCATAAAATTCCACAGCGTTGGCTCTTCCCCCTCCCCCTGTGTGAACCCAAAGGCTGTTGGGGAAGTCTCATCCACCAAAAGCTGCCAAGGCACAGAAGATGCTGAGTGGCTGCTGTGGTGCAGTAGAAAGGGGGGGTGTGGGGGGAGGTTGGCACAGTGGGGCTGCTCCCAGCACCTGCTTTGGTGGTTTGCTCCTTTGCCTCTGCCTCTTGGCTGTTTTGAGGGCTTCAGGTGTTGGAAGGTCTAACTTTTTGGGATCATCACGTGAGGAAAGTCAGGAAGGGATGTATCCCCACCCCAAAGCCCATTCTTGGTCTTTGGTAGGATCCAGTTCAGGCTCAGCTCCTTCAAAGAGCTCATGGAGCCCAGGCCTGTGGGCTGCCTGCAGCAGCTGGAGGCTGGGCCAGGGGCCAGACTGGAGCTGTGATCCCTTTGGGCTCAACCTGCTTTGGGAGAGTTCTCAGGGATCTTTGGGATTGCTGGCAAACTCTCCCAGAGCGCCACTGGGAGGCTGCACAGGTGGGATCTGCTGTCCTGTTTGGGGTGGTGGTGGAGAAGAATCCCCTGGGGGCATGAGCCAGGGGGGTAGGATGGTCACCTTGCAGGGGGACACTGGATGGATGGGCAGAGATCACAGCCCTTGCCCTGCTGCTGCTGATTCCACCTTCCCCTCCCATTCCAGCTGCTCACCTTTTCCCAG